ATAACTCAGAAACATATTCACAAGCCTGCAGGAATGTAGCGGTGCAACGTATTTCATTTTTGTAGGCGCCTTAGATCTTTACAAATTTACCAATGAATCTCTTGCCATGGCATAGCCTGTCGCAAGTGTAGACAACAGCTGTTCCATTAAGAATACCACGTTATTCGGAACATTTATTCGCCTTAGATGACTACCTCCTAGGTATTATTTGAAGAGTGAAAAGTTACGCCTAGGGTTATTTTTTAGCTTCAGCTTGTTGCAATGTAGAACAATTCCTGAAAGTGAATTTTTTGACCCTTTACGTCTACGACTTCAATGTCTTACTAATAAGGCGCTACTCATCTTTGGATATTAGCACAATCGCTACCCCCAAATGCTATTTGTTGTTACCATAAAATTTACTTGATAAAGGTCATATTTTGTTTTAACTTTCCAAAGAATATTTACGATCCTATATGTTCAGATTTGCACAAATGTATTTCTTGCCTTGTCCCCCATTTTCCGTATATATTGCAGACCTCCAATAAGGACGACAATTCTTCACTTGTCCCGGTAATTAATTCCGAGCGATAATTTTACATCTTACTCAGGCAATGGCTCTATTTGATGCAAATACTTCCGATGTGGAAAACCGGTGTTTATTTATTTGTTACCTAACACTTACTATTTCTGCGTCTTTGACGCACTTCATTGCATTCGTTAGTCCATACTGGGTAGTAGCCGGTTCCGGCGCCTACGCTTTGTTCAACAGAATCGGTCTGTGGACAGTGTGCTTCGATGGGTACATGCGGCCTAATCAATTTAATAAAGCTTATTTTGGTTGTTTTTACGTATACCATACTGAATACGATTTGATACGCGAATGGTTAAATCCGGGTAAGAGATCGGTGTTTAATAGTTGAAGTGTGGCTATACGTCATCCAGATCATATCTTCTGTTGGGATTTTGTCTGAGGGGATCGTCCTATTTTGTGTACTGTGTCAGGCCACTGGCCGTCTTGTTATTGAACGTCTGAATATAACGAAGTGGCTGATGACTGGGCATTTCATTGCAGGTATGCATACTCTAGCCACTTGTAATAACGTAAAATGTGGAGCAGGGCTCATTTTTAATGCAGTTACTTAGTAGCCTGTGATTTATTGTTCTATTTAGCATTTATGCCCGATATTTTATGAGAACTGTTTTCTTCGTCCACTCTGCGATCTGCATTGAAATTCTTCTGACCAAATTTTTGTAAAGTACCAATGGGTTAATTATGGATCTCTCAGGATTCTGCTTCCCTTTATCAACTAGACTCTGTTATGTGTTAGTCACTATCGAAAATGGTCACACTAGCTCATTCGAAATGGACTCAAAAATCTATTCACTGATACTTAGACTGGTGAAAATCCATATCACTTTAGCATTACTATTTGCCTATATTTTATTGTATTGATTATAACTTCGTGTCTACTCAGAAGTCAAAAAGGCCGGTAGTTGCGCACTTTACATTTCCTGTCTGTCTTCCGGTCTTGTTCTCGTGTTCGTGCAATGGAGTAATGCTATCTAAGTACTAATGAAATCTCAGACATCTCTCTCTAGTTCATTATTTCGAAATTTTTGTAACTGATGAGAATGGGTAGTGGTTGATGCAAAACGGATAGCATAATTCTTTTGACCTTCTATGGTTTTGACTTGCATTTTAGGAATATCCCTGCTTTTTGCGTTACTGGGATTTATTTATGGTAGTTACGACAGTCGTTGGGTTCCTTATCCGAGATATAACAAGCTCTCTTGGGGATTCGGTACAGGACTCCTCAGCTTAACTTTAATTATTACCAGTTTCTTCGTCATGCTCGTGTTTTGCCTCAAAGTACACGCAAAAACTGCAAAGGCGTGGCTTGTTGGTCACGAAAACCGCGAAGACGCTGATGATGAGGTGCAGGACGATGACGATAGGAATGTAGAGGACGAAATACGCAAACTAGCCTCGACATTTAATTCTCGTGACTACTCACAGCCGGGTGGCTACCTGCATGCAAGAGCTGCAGATTTCGTCATCCCAACTGAGTCGGAAATTGTTGAGGATCTAGGTGACATTGATGATGGTGACAACGACTTGTACTCCTATTCGTAAAAGCGAAGAAGTTGCACTTTTTTAATTGCTTAAAACTAAACTTATGGATAGCCAAATTTGCCGGATACCTTACCTGTTCCAGCACCGTTTCGGTAGCATGAACATCCGCCTTTGAATCTTTCTTGTGCCAGTAAAACACTTTCTCTATACGGACATGCTTTATTGTGTCCCTGGGGTTGATTTGGGACCATGATGTGACCAGAGGATGGGGTAGAAAGGGTTGGAAAGTTGTGGTAAATATTGCTGCTGTATTGCAGTAAAGGTCTGCTGGTTGATTGTAATGCCATGTAAAAAGAAGGTGATTAACATGGTATTGCCCATTATATCGGGTAGCGATTTGAGATGCTTGCAGGTTGAGGCGAGCATCTGTTCAGTAACCATGATGTGTAAGATCTAGCAGATACACCCGAAATTTGATGTAGAAGTGTGGCGAGAGTTAACGATGTCAGTCAAACAGCAGGAATTTGAAAAGTTGGGAATCTATCAAAAAGATTAAGATAGTGCGTTCTTAAAAGGGGTTAGGAGTTGCATTTAACGTTCCTAGTCACTGATGAACTTGCGATGAGCCAAAGTAGCTTTGAGGAGCGTGTATTACCATTGCACAGAGGAGGTGGAAGGCCATTAGCCTGGGCTAAAAGCATTGCCACAAGGTAGAAGCACCACCGGCAGCTACTCAAGTGTCACCGCGAGACAAGTTATCGAATCACTGCGCAGCCTCTCTGCTTGGCATTGATAGGGTGCTCCCCATGGTCGTCAGCCTACTGCGTCGACGCCCACGAGGTAGCCGACGCTTCAAAACCACCCGCAAACAGCAAGGCCAGTCGCTGACTTTCTTCGGATGTAAGAAGGTCCTAGATCCTAATCCCACTGCTACACCAGCAATTTTACTGCATTTGGAGCTTAGTCCTATTTGTGAATGGTACTGTGGAATGGAAAATGCACTGGATTTACACTGCTCAAGACAGAGCAATGCCCCAAAACGTGGGTACGTCGTGTCAGTAGCGAGTGGTAGGAGAGTTGGTTTAAGAGCAGAGTCCTTAGATGAAAGGCAGGATTGAAAGTAGACCAATGGACCAAGTGTTTTGCACTTATTTATCCTTATTACT